TATATATATATATATATATATATATATATATATAGGTAAATTCAACTGCAAATAATTTTTTGTATACCTTACAACAATATATTTTCAGGGCTTACTCTCTAATGGACAAGGGATTGCTGTCAAAAGACTGTCAAGCAATTCTGGCCAAGGAGACATGGAATTTAAGAATGAAGTTCTTTTATTGGCTAAACTTCAACATCGAAATTTAGTTAGACTACTTGGTTTCAGTTTGGCAGGGAGAGAAAAACTACTTGTTTATGAATTTGTTCCTAATAAAAGCCTTGACTACTTCATATTTAGTAAGTTTAAATATTAGCAAAATTAGTCTTTTGCTCCATTACTTTAGCTCTAATGCAGGAAAAATATCATCAACCATATATACTAACACAACTCTAAAATTCATATGGCTTTGACTAATGTATAGATCCAACAAAGAAAGCACAATTGGATTGGGAAAGGCGTTACAAAATCATTAGAGGTGTTGCTCGAGGTCTTCTCTATCTTCATGAGGATTCAAGATTGCGCATTATACATCGTGATCTCAAAGCAAGTAATGTTCTCTTAGATGAAGAAATGATTCCTAAGATATCAGATTTTGGCATGGCAAGATTAATTGTTGCAGATCAAACACAAGAGAATACAAGTAGAGTTGTTGGAACCTAGTAAGTATTATAATATGCTAGAGTTTATTGTTACACATTTGACAAGTATACAAATTATTATAAGTAGTAAATTGGACAAAAGTCCAAGTTAATGAATTTACATGAACTTGAGTAATAATTGTTTAATTTAATATTTGGTACTAAACAAATGAATTAAATAGATTTAATTTTTTTTAAGTAAAACATAAAAAATTATAAAATTATGAAAGTAAGAAGCACACAACATATTAATGAATAATTTAAATTTAGACAATAAAGACGATCAAAGATTGATTTCACTAACTTTTCTCATGTAAATTTTCTCAAATTTTCATTCAATTTTAGAAATTAGAAAGTTAATTCAATAGCTCTTAAATATATTTAAACTCTAATTTCTTGGGCAAGAAATTCGAAGTTACTTAAAAAGATTTTCATTTCCTTAGTAATTTTTGTTGAACAACACATGTTAAGGTCAGAGACCTAAAAATTAATTGATAAAACTTATCTTATTTCTAGTAACAAATGTTATCAGTGTTTTACACAAATCGTACTTCTAAACAAGTTTCCCAACCTTAATTAAAATTAGAAAATCATTTAATGGATGATCATACCACAACAAATATTAAGTATAAAGTAAAAATGATTAATTAAATAAAAGCATTTAGTTGAATGAGAAAAAGGAGAATTGCACAAGTACAATAACTACGTCAATCTCTAATAATGGAGAGTTAATCACTCACAGATAAGGATTATACACAAGAAAAGAAGGAATCTTCAAGTGATTCATGATCACAAAAATGTTCTCATAAAGACTTTCTTTAATCCCTCAAAAATTCTGATCCTAAAAACTAAGATGCTAATAAGTTCCTATAAAAACCTTAATTATTTATAATAATTTAAATGAGTTTTTGTTCGTGCATGCTCGCTCAAAGCATCCATATGGTCCACTTAAGCAAGTTGTTTGATCCTTCCAAGTTAGTCTCTAACTTATCTCGCTCAAAGCATTTTTCGTAGTCACTCTAAGTGAATTCTAACTCACTTAGAGCATGTCACTTGTTTGCTTAAGTGAGCTAGCATCATCTCTTATGGACAGTCTTTGACTTACTTCATGTAGAGCACCTGATTTAGTCGCTTTAAGCTAATTTTGGCTCCTTAAGAACGAGAGGATTGTTTGCTTAAGCAAGCAAGCAACATTATCACACGGGTAGTCTCGGTGTGCACTTGCTCAAAGTGAGTAGTTGGTCACTTCAAGTAAATTCTTGAAGAAAGGCTCACTCAGAGCGCACATCTAGTTGATTGAGTGATATTGATTGATTTTGACTTTGTGGCTTTCTAATTTTTTTTCCTTGTGTAGCATCTTCATAAAGAAACTATTAAAAATGCCTAATATTAAAAAGAAATCATCTTAAAAATAAAAGTAACTTTAACTAAGTGTTTAAGGTAAAAATATATATTTTGAAGCATAAAATATATTCATTTAATAATTGTCTAAATTGAATAAAAAATTATAAATATATTTACCAATTATCACTTACTAATTCATGAATGCTTAAATTTACTTAACTATCAACTAATTTGTTTTTATTATTACTTAGTCAAATATTGGTCATTTATTCAAAATGTTTAACATTTAATTGAGTGACAAAACAAACTATACTTTTAAATTAATATGAAATTAAAGTTAGAACACCATTAAAAATATAGGGGTTTTATGTAGCAATTGAAACAATAAGAATTTATTATTGTAAATAGTCATAACATATATGTTGGTTTTTCACTAATATTAAGTTTGTACATGTTTGCTTCAATGATTTGTAGTGGATATATGGCCCCTGAATATGTAATGCATGGACAATTTTCAGTGAAATCAGATGTTTTTAGTTTCGGTGTATTAGTTCTTGAGATTGTAAGTGGTCAAAAAAATCATGATACTCGTCATGAGAATGGAGAAGATCTAATAAACTTTGTAAGTTTTATATATTTATTTCATCCTTGCAATTAAATGTTTATGGGCACCTAAATATTAATGAAGAAATTGAATTTTTGTGGTCTACATACTAATATTTGGTTACTTGCAATTCTTACAGGCATGGAAAAAATGGCAAGAGGGGACAATTACAAATATTATAGATCCATCATTAATCAATAATTTACAAAATGAAATGATAAGATGCATCCACATTGGTTTACTATGTGTTCAAGAAAATTTAAGCAACAGACCAACCATGGCTAACATTGCACTCATGCTTAATAGTTGTTCTATCACTCTCCCAGTGCCTTCAAAACCTGCATTTTTTATGGATAGTGCAGCTACAAGCCTTCCAAACATGTCATGGGGTGTTAATTCAGGGACAACAATATCGAGTCAATCCACGACTAAATCAATTCAAGAGTCGGCAAACGAGGCTTCAATTACAGAGTTATACCCTCGCTAGATTCTTGTTATAATGCTAATATATGAACTTCTCATCAACATTAGTACAATGTTATGGAATTTATAATAATTTGTCCGTGCAAAGTCTTGAACTTAAATAGACCATAGAAACCTATTTGTTTCTACTAAGATAACATATAGTATGGTTTGGCTATTATGTAATGCTTGGTCTTTCAATGCATTTGTTTTTATACCCTTCAAGTTTATTTATTTATTGTGTGGGTCTGACTTAAATATTATATTATTAAGTCATTTGAAACTTATTTACTGTCTATTAAAAAAAAGTACACATTTTTTTTCTCTTAATTCATTTTACTCGTTTAAAGTCTTAACATTAAAATTATTTTTTAAACTCTAGTACTTTTACAGCTCAAATGACTAGATTTGCTACCAGTAACAATTAAAAATGTGAAATCACGACCATTTGAGTAGTATGTATACTTTTACAATCATGCCTTGAAATTTATTCCTAGTCACCCTTAAATTATCTATTTGACTTAATGGTCTATAAATTGTATGATAAGCTTTTAAACAATTTCAAAATACAATTATTAGCATTTCAACAATTTGGGGACGGGGTATTTTCAGTGGAGTATGTATATATAAATGAGTATTCATTTTTGTGAATTTTCCTACTTCTTTAAATTCTTCACTTGAGCCTTCTTAATGCTTCGGATACTTAAACAATCTATCTATAAAATAAGAGATTACGTTCACAAGTTATTATAAAACGAATTAATTTTATATGTTGTTATATTAGTATATTTATTTATATAATAAATTTTTAAAATTTTTATCTTTTATCATTTTTTTTTATCTTTTATATATTACATCTCTTAATATTCTATTTAATATAACTCTCGTTTCTCTATTAATTTTTATTTCACTGCAATCATCATTATCAAAAAGGTACTATTTTTTTCTTTTTTTTCTTATTTTTTTTTCTTATCTACTCTTTATATTACGTACTTACATTCTATTCAATTTATCTCTCATCTTCTTTATTTAATTTTCATCTCATATAATAATCTTTGTCAAAAATAAAAAATACTACTTTTTTCTTTATTTTTTTTATTTTTTTTATTCTGCCCTTTATATTACATATTTGCATTCTATTTAATCTATCTCTCACCCTCTTTATTTATTTTTCGTTTCACATGGCAATGAACTTTTTTACTAATTAAGATTATACCACAAACTACTAAAAGTGGGTGTCCAAAACTTTATCATGGAGTTGATCTATTTTATATCACACATAAATCAAAATAGCTAACTTTAGTATTATTTTTTTTACTCTAAATAGTAAATATAGATTTATTATTTTTCTTACTCATTTAATCTTATAATTGTTATTATATTCTGTAATTTTAATAATATTAATGTATAAATGTTTTAAACTAAGTTTTAAAGAAATTAATGATAAATTATTTATATAAATATAAATACCAAAAATAACAAATCCACAACCGATATAAAGCAAATTGTCTTTTGCAAATGGATCAACTAAAAGCTTCATAAAATAAGGGATCATTATAACTTGTGTTGCGTTTTCAAAAAGTGATTCGGATAAGAAAAAAATGAAGTATTTTTTGTTTTAATAATAAGGGTTATAAATTTAACAATAATAATACAAAACAAATTTAAGTTCTCACATATCTATGGCAGTTCTCATCATTAGATCGTCTTTGGTGGTTGAAAAAATAAAACATCAACTTATATACATAATTATCTTCAATTAATTTGGCGGTCTTATGTGTAAATTTTAAAGTGAATAAAATAATCACAAAATTTCCTTGGCCATGGATTATTGTGATAAATAGGGCGTGTTGACATGAAAATGAAGATAAAAAAAATAAAAAAATAAAAAGTTTAGCAATTATGCATGGATAACATGGGGCAGACAAAAGTATAAAGTATATTGTTGAGAAGGTAGCATAGCATCATCATCTCATGAAAGAAAAAAAGTTTGGACGGCTACTAACTAGGTATTTAATCATCACCGTGGCCACTAAAATTGTTCGACACAAATAGAATCTCGTATCAATGTCACAAACTCCAATTAACAATAATCTCCAAAGGCAAAAAAGCCAGGGATTATAAATTGCATGCTGGGTGGGGACCAATGAAAATGGAATCTCAAATACTATATATATTCTTGAGTTGCGCAACCAAAATACAGATAATTTTCTTTTTGGCATCTAAAATTCAGATGATTTAGGTTTGTATATGTTAAATTATGTACGTTTTAAAATAAAGGTGCAAGCTTTTTCTATCACCGATCCGTGTAACCAAATTGATTTACTTTTCAATTTCTTACGCTCACTTGATCATCTTTCTTTTGAGTCCATAATGACAAGATCTTAGCCCAATAGAAAATATGGCCCAACAGGATTTTGATAGCGCATACAATAGTATAAACTCTTTAAATTAATAATGTCAAGACCAAAGAAATTTATTAATTTAGAGAGTTATTAATTTATTGATAAATTAATAATTATTAATTTAAAGAATTTTTAAGTAATTATACTGTACATACCAAATAAAAAGGCAAATTAGTCTCTGCCTCTTATAATTATGTTGCAGCGAACCTTGGGACTCAACGTAAATTAGTAACTTTTGAAATACATATGCATTGAAAATCAATACATAATGACTTTTGAAGTACATATGCATTGGAAATCAATAATGATTTTTGAAGTACAGTAAATGTAAACAAGAGGAAGCACTTATGGCGTCGAACATTCTTCACAACTTTATGATACAATACAAAAATACAACACCTGAGCTATTGGATGTAATAAGAAAAGTTAGAGATGAGCTCCAAATAAACTTGAACTTTAAAGGAAAACAGACAACTATTGAATCATATTTCAATAGAGTGTAATATATTTTTTTTCAGTTTCTATGAATTATTAATTTATGATTTTCTTGGGATCGAAAATTATAAAGGGATCTCCCGAAAAATTATTATCTTATTATTTTATCAAGTTTTTCATTTTTTTACATTAGCCCAAGTCGAGACCGGACAAATTTATTATTTTAGAGAGTTTATTAATTTACTGAGTATTAATTTAAAGAGTTTCTACTGTATTTATTATATACAGTATAATTAAAATTTATAATAAATTATATTTATAAATAAATATTATATTTAAATATATAATTTTTATTTAAAATTAATATATATAAATCTTTTTAAATACATAAATTATATTTAAAATTTTTGATAAATAATTTATATTGTAAAAAAATTATTTTTATTTATTGATAATTTATTTTAAAATTAATATTTAATTTATAAATAATTTTGATAAATAAAAATTGAATAAAATAAGAAATTAAAAGAATTTCTATAAATTCTCTCATTGAAGAAAAGTTCCAATAAACATTTTCACACAAAATAGAAGTTCGCATTTATTATATAGAGGTTCATTGCTTCGAATTTGATTATTATTTAGAGAGGGCTATAATAAAATGAAGTATTTTTTGTATTCAACTAAATTATAATTTTAATCTTCCTACAATATCAAATTTATAATTTTAATCCAATAACTTTTAAATCTATAATTTTAGTCTTTATGATTAAAGTGAAAAATATTAGAGAATACCATCATGAATTTAGATTTTAGTAATATATTTAACAAAACATAGTGTATGTTCTGGACAAAATAGTGTATTATGTAATTTGTATTTCAAAAACCTTACAAAGAAATCTTAATAATATTATTAATATTTATTTAAAGAAATATTAATAATATAGAGATGAGGCTCAATAGTAAATTACTTTATCTTAAGAATAAGGATGACAAGTAAATTTATTCATGTAAGTAATATATAAATTCGTCCCGACTTTAATAGAAAATATCTGGTTTGACCGAGGTATGGATAATATGTATATATATATATATATATATGTGTGTGTGTGTGTGTGTGTGTGTGTGTGAATTCGTTCATACTCGCTTTAAATTTCTAAGAATTTAAATTATTTTCTTTCAAATTTACTTGACATTTATATAATTCTTACTCTATTTTAAATTTACATCAAATGAAACTTAATTAATGTAATTTTTAATTATTATTTTATGTAAAAATTATTTTTTTAAAAATATATTTTACAAAAAATATATAATTAATTTTTTTTAGAAGTACAAAGTTAATACAACTATATTCAATACCTAACAGAAATGGAATAAAGACACAAATTTCATACCTATTAAATATGCAAACAAGGATAAATATAAGATATGAAAATAAGAACGAAACGAAAATAGTGAAACTCGTACTCGTCTTATCATGTTTTCATTCCTACTTAAGAATAGAAACAAACTTTTTTATATATTTTCTTCAAATTTTCTAAATAATAATTGAAATCTGAAATAAAATCCAAAAAACAAGCATAAATCAAAATTTGACTTTCAATATATTTTAAGAAAATGTTGTTTTTTTTTAAAAAAAATAATAATCACTTGGTGTTTAATTTTTTTTTTCTTCCAAAGTTAGTAAATAAAAGTAAGGTAAAAATAGAATTTGATCACTCATTTTATTTTATTTTTTTTGTATGAAATCATGTTTATTAAATTTAAAAATAATTATCAATGAATAAAATAAAATTTTGTTACTATACAAATTATTTATCATAAATCTAAAATATAATTTATATATTCAAACATAATATTTAGGCTAAATACCTATTTTGGTCCCTTATTATCTTTTTTTGTTTCAATGTAGTCCCACTTTTATTTTTGGTCTCAATTTGGTTCCAAACTAATTAATTGGTTTCAATTTAGTCCCTAATAAATTAATTGGTTTCAATGTGGGACTTTCGTCCAAATTTCTTTAATGGAGTTAACTGTTGCATGGGTGGATGCCACGTGGATGCATAGGTGGATGCCATGTAGATGCCACGTGGATGCCAATTTTTGAAAACACTTGGAACCAGAACGGGCCGTTCTGGTTCCAGACTACTAAACATAAACGATCAATGATTACAGTTCACGGTTGTGAATCATGGAAGGAAAAAGACCCAAGGTACAAAGCATTTTAAACACTGAATTTGGTAATATTGTCAAT